CCACAACCACAAGTTGGCTTGTTGGTCACCTACTCTAACAAAACATGCACAAACACACTCGCTCAAATGGACATGCACACACGTACATGTAAAAAACCATGCGCATAACTGCATTCCCAACAACGTTTTAAAAAACACAAACTACAACACTAGGACTTTAATACGCATCAAGAAACAACGGCAAAAACATTAGATAAAAAAGATAAAGTGGAGTGTAGAAATAAAACTCTACGTTTACGTATACGTGGATTTCTTTTTGGATTAATTTATATTTCGGTTTTAATTGGTGGATTTAGTTTCTTATAGGTACCAATCGAAAATTAGGTGTCCAGGAAGCAAAAATGATGATAGAATTAGAAAAGAGTAGCAATTAGGAAGATAAAATCAAATTAGAAGCGAGGATCCCTCAACATCTTTAGTAGTGTCCACGAAATCGAGCATAACTTTCTCATCCGGACTCCAAATCAACAGATTGTGGCGGCATTACAAAGCCATTTCAGCTGGCTACAATTCCTGTCTAACGTCAAATTTCCAAATTCGGACTCGAACATGGTCAAAAATTGGATTCCAATAGCGATCATGAAAATACGAACCACAGTTCGAGGACATGAATGCGCATCAAGAAAGATGCACAAAAACACTCGCTAGAAAAGATACGCACATAACTAAAGGTACAAAAGCATGCACAAAAGTACTCACGCAAAAGTGCATTCGCAAAAAGGATCATGAAAATACAAACTACAATCCTAGGACATTAATACAAATCAACAAACATGCACAAACACACTCGCTCAAATGGACATGCACAAACGTACGTGTATAAAAACATGCGCATAACGGCTTCACAACAACGTTCTTATAAACACGAACTACAACACTAGGACTTTAATACGCATAACCAAACAACAACAAAAACACTAGATACAAAAGATACAGTGGAGTGTAGAAATAACACTATTCGCTTACGTTTACGTGGATTTTTTTTGGATTAATTTATATTTCTATTTTAATTGGTTGATGTAGTATCTTATTGGTACAAATCGAAAACTAGGTGTCCATGATACAAATCGAAAACTAGGTGTCCAACGTCAAATTTCCAAATTCGGACTCGAACATGGTCAAAATTGGATTCCAAAAGCGATCATGAAAATACGTACAACAGTTCGAGGAGATGAATACGCATCAATAAACATGCACAAAAACACTCGGTAGAAAAGGTACGCACATAACTAAAAGTACAAAAGCATGCACAAAATTACTCACGAAAAAGTGCATTCGCAAAAAGGATCATGAAAACACAAACTAGAATCATAGGACATTAATCCAAATCAACAAACATGCACAAACACACTCGCTCAAATGCACATGGACAAACGTACATGTGAAAAAACATGCGCATAACTGCATACGCAACAACATTCTTAAAAACTCGAACTACAACACTAGGACTTTAATACGCATCAACAAAAGTGCATTCGCACCAACGTTCTTAAAAATACAAACTACAACACAGGGAATTTAATACGCATAACATAACAAATAGCAAAAACACTAGATACAAAGATACAGTGGCGTGTAGAAATAACACTCTACATTTACGTTTACGTGAAGGTTTTTTTGGATTAATTTATATTTCTGTTTTCATTGGTGGATTTAGTATCTTATAGGTACAAATCGATAATAAGGTGTCCATGAAGCAAAAATTATCAAAGAGTAAGAAAAGAGTTGCAATTAGGAAAATAAAATAAAATTAGAAGAGAGGATCCCTCAACATCTTCGGTAGTGTCCACGAAGTCGAGCATAACTTTCTCATCCTGACTCCAAATCAACTGGTTCCAGTAGCCAAAGAAAGCTATTTCAGCTTGCTACAATTCTTGTCTAACCTCAAATTTACATATTCGGACTCGAACATGGACAAAATTGGATTCCAAAAGTGATCATGAAAATACAGGCGGTAGTTCGAGGACATAAAAACGCAGCAAGAAACGTGTACAAAAACACTCGCTAAAAAAGATACGCACATAAGTAAAAGTACAACAACATGCACAAAAGTACCCACGCAAAAGTGCATTGGCAAAAAGGATCATGAAAACACAAACTACAATCCTAGGACAATAATACAAATCAACAAACATGCACAAACACACTCGCTCAATTGGACATGCACAAACGTACATGTAAAAAAACATGCGCAAAAGTGCATTCGGAACAACGTTCTTAAAAACACGAACTATAACACTAGGACTTTAATACGCATAACCAAACAACAACAAAAACACTAGATACAATAGATACAGTGGAGTGTAGAAATTACAATCTACGTTCACGTTGACGTGGATTTTTTTTTGATTAATTTATATTTCTTTTTTTATTGGTGAATTTAGTATCTTTTAGGTAAAAATCGTTAATTAGGTGTCCATGAATCAGAAATGATCAAAGAGTAAGAAAAGAGTTGCAATTAGGAAAATGAAATCAAATTAGAAGAGATGATCCCACAACATCTTCGTTAGTATCCACGAAGTCGAGCATAACTTTCTCATCTGGACTCCAAATCAACTTGCTATAGCGGCATTAGTAAGCTATTTCAGTTGGCTACAATTCCTGCCTCACGTACAGTTTCCGAACTCGGACTCGAACATGGTCAAAATTGGATTACGAGAGCTATCATGAAAATATGTGCTTCAGTTCGAAGACATGAATGCGCATCAAGAAACATGCACAAAAGCACTCGCTATAAAAGATACGCACATAAGTAAAAGTACAACAGCATGCACAAAAGTACCAACGCAAAAGTGCATTTGCAAAAAGGATCATGAAAACACAAACTACAATCCTAGGACAATAATACAAATCAACAAACATGCACAAACACACTCGCTCAATTAGACATGCACAAACGTACATGTAAAAAAACATGCGCAAAAGTGCATTCGGAACAACGTTCTTAAAAACACGAACTATAACACTAGGACTTTGATACGCATAACCAAACAACAGCAAAAACACTAGATACAAAAGATACAGTGGAGTGTAGAAATTACAATCTACGTTCACGTTGACGTGGATTTTTTTTGGATTAATTTATATTTCTGTTTTAATTGGTGAATTTAGTATCTTGTAGGTACAAATCGTTAATTAGGTGTCCATGAATCAGAAATAATCAAAGAGTAAGAAAAGAGTTGCGCATCAAGTTAGGAAAATAAAATCAAATTAGAATAGATGATCCCTCAACATCTTCGGTAGTATCCACGAAGTCGAGCATAACTTTCTCATCTGGACTCCAAATCAACTTGTTGTGGCGGCATTAGTAAGCTATTTCAGTTGGCTACAATTCCTGCCTAACGTCCAGTTTCCGAACTCGGACTCGAACATGGTCAAAATTGGATTACGAGAGCTATCAAGAAAATACGTGCTTCAGTTCGAAGACATGAATGCGCATCAAGAAACGTGCACAAAAGCACTCGCTAGAAAAGATACGCACATAAGTAAAAGTACAAAAGCATGCACCAAAGTACTCACGCAAACGTGCATTCGCAAAAACGATCATGAAAACACAAACTACAGTTCTAGGACATTAATACAAAACAACAAACATGCACAAACACACTCGCTCAACTGGACATGCACAAACGTGAATGTTAAAAAACATGCCCATAAGTGCATTCGCAACAACGTTCTTAAAAACACGAACTACAACACTAGGACTTTAATACGCATAACCAAACAACAGCAAAAACATTTGATTCAAAACATATAGTGGAGTGTAGAAATAACACCCTACGTTTACATTCACGTGGATTTTTTTTGGATTAATTTATATTTCTGTTTTAACTGGTGGATTTAGTATCTTATATGTACAAATCGATAATTAGGTGTCCATGAAGCAAAAATGATCAAAGAGTAAGAAAAGAGTTGCAATTAGGAAAATAAAATCAAATTAGAAAAGAGGATCCCTCAACATCATCGATAGTGTCCACGAAGTCGAGCATAACTTTCTCATCCGAACTACAAATCAACTAGTTCCGGCGACATCAGAAAGCTATTTCAGCTTGCAACAATTCTTGTCTAACGTAAGTTTCCAAATTCGGACTCGAACATGGTCAAAATTGGATTCCAAAAGCGATCATGAAAATATTTGCTACAGTTCGAGGACATCAATGCGCATCAAGAAACGTTCACAAAAATATTCGCTAGAAAAGATACGCACATAAGTAACAGTACAAAAGCATGCACAAAAGTACTCACGCAAAAGTGCATTCGCAAAAAGGATCATGAAAACACAAACTACAATCCTAGGACATTAATACAAATCAACAAACATGCTAAAACACACTGCTCAACTGGACATGCACAAACGTAAATGTAAAAAAACATGCTCAAATTAATATATGCATGTTCGTTTTAATAAGAGGTAATGTTTCGAATCTATTGTCATTCGATTCGGTTACGTTTAAATTAATATATGCATGTTCGTTTTAATAAGAAACTTGTATGATTTTATGTGACTACATGAAATTGGTTTTATTATTGCGAGCATGATTATTTGATTTAAACGCGAGCATGCTAATTGATTTAATTTCGATTAAGTAATTAAGCATGTATGTTGTTTTAATTTCGCTGGAAGCGCAAAGGTACGCAATGTATGTTGCTTTTAATTTCGCTGGAAGCGCAAAGGTACGCAGTTAATTGATTTATATTATCGGGCATGTGCTTGTGTATTTTAAATTCGTTTAATTCGCATAAAATTTTTGTTTTCTGCTGCGTACGCGTGCCCGAAACCCAACATATATCTAGCCCCCAAAACTTAGTCTTCAAGAATGAAAAATAAAACCCTAAATCTACTTAATAAAGGCTCTAAACAAGTGAGCCACGAAATTAAAGAGGGTCTTAATAGAATAGGCCCATAAACACACTAATATGAACTGATTAGAGATGAACCTACAAATTTAAGGTAGGGTCGGCTTTGGTCTTCATCCTGCTTGCTAAACTTGGACTGATCTTTAGCCCGGATGGTTCCAACACTTGTCCGGTGAATCCGCCACTTGAATATGCATAATCCAGCCTTTTTTATCACCATTGAAAGAAGCTTTCTTAGTTAAGACATTTTGGATCAATGCAGCAAGCTTCTCCTTAAATTGCTTAGCTCGACTCCTCGTTACTGGTCCCGTTGGGAGTTGGATTGGATCATCTTGCCAACTGTTGGTGAGACCTCCATCATTCCCCTCCTCTTGAAAAGGATTTGTCCTGAAATCATCACCTACATCAAAATAACTCAAATCAGTAACATTGAAGGTTATACTAATATCATAGTTACATGGCAAGTCCAGCTTATACGCATTATCATTCACTCGCTCGAGAACTTGAAAAGGACCATCTCCTCTCGGCATCAACTTACAACGCCTTTGTACTGGAAATCGTTCTTTTCTCATGTGCATCCAAACCCAATCTCCAGGTTCAAAAACCAACTTGCGACGTCCCTTGTTCGCTTGCTTTGCATATTGTTCTGTTCTCCTCTCCATATTGAGCCTTGCTTTTTCATGAATCTGCTTCACAAGTTCAGCCTTTTTCTTTCCGTCCAAGTTAACACGCTCACATAAAGGTAGTGGAGTTAAATCCATTGGAGTTAAAGGATTAAAACCATAAACAATTTCAAACGGTGAAAACTTAGTAGCAGAATGAACAGCTCGATTATATGCAAACTCAACATGTGGTAAACACTCTTCCCGTGTTTTAATGTTTTTCTTGATAATAGCCCTCAACAAGGTAGACAAAGTCGTATTTACTACTTTAGTTTGACCATCGGTTTGTGGGTGACAAGTAGTAGAAAATAATAATTTTGTTCCTAGCTTACACTACAAGGTCTTCCAAAAGTAACTCAAGAACTTAGCATCACGATCAGAAACAATTGTCCTAGGCATTCCATGACCAAAACTATTAGTTTACCCTTCGTAAGAAACAGGCCCAATTAAGAATTACATAAAACCAAATATCATTTAGACCTAATTTACTTTAGCAAAAAAAAGCCCAATAAATAGCCCATTTTTCTTCATCTTCTTCACCCGTGAGTTGCAGAACTGCGACCAGCCACCAAATCTGCAAGCTCAGAAATCCTCTACGATCGATACTTCAACCACTACTTTCCTCTCTCGTCCTGTTTAATGGGTACCCAATAGCTTTTCATTTATGAAACTCAAGAAAATCGCCGCTCTCCGCATCCACACAGGTCAACAAATTCCTCGCCGGAGATGGCGACCGACCGTCACTCTTCGCCGCAGGATTACACTCTCCCGTCCACAGACAAGACACGCCGTTGCGAGGGCGAGGAGTTCAAAGAGAGAAAGTTGACGGTAGCTCTCTGCCCATGTATTTTCTGCTTAATTCTTTTACTCGTAGTAGCATCAATCGTACTCGTTGTCAAATTCCGTTTGTACTGCCATACCCCTGTTCACTCTCTCTTAAAAAATTCCTGCCGGCAATAATCCCAAACCAAAATCCACCACTTTGCTTGAATAAAATTAGGCCCTTTTGTAATGCATACCGATTCCGAATTCGAGAGCGACATCGAAAATGAATCAGCTTCTGCCGAATTCGAGGCCGATTTGAAGGAGGTGGAAAGAGTATGCAAGGTGATCGACGAAATGTTTGCTCTAGATAGGAACATATAGGCCGTTTTAGACGAATGTGGGATCAATCTGAATCATAAATTGGTGTTGTGTGTGCTGGAGAGATTCAATCATGCTCGAAAACTCGCGTTTCGGTTCTTCCGTTGGGCTGGAGATAGACCTGGATTCTCTCATGATTCGACCACTTACAATGCAATGATGAACATTCTTGGAAAGACCAGACAATTCGAGACATCAGTTTCTCTCCTCGAAGAAATGGGAGAGAAGGGTTTGCTCACGATGGAGACCTTCACCATGTGCATCAAAGTCTTCGCCGCTGCAAAGGAGAGGAAAAAGGCAGTTGCCATTGTCGATTTGATGAAGAAATATAATTTCAAGGTTGGAATAGAGACCGTTAATTTTTTTCTCGATGCATTGGGTAGGGCCAAGCTCGCGAAAGAAGCTCAAACGTTGTTCGAGAAATTGGAGCACAAATTCGCCCCAAATGTAAAAACGTACACAATCTTGATCAACGGTTGGTGCACGGTCAAGAATTTAATGGAAGCCGCTAGAATGTGGAATGAAATGATCGATAAAGAGTTTAAACCCGATATCGTAGCCCACAATATAATGCTCGAAAGGCTGTTGAGGAGCCATACAAGATCTGATGCAATCAAGTTGTTCGAGGTAATGAAATGTAAGGGCCCACTTCCTACTGTTAGGAGTTATTCTGTATTAATCAAGAATCTATGCAAACACGGCCACTTAAAAGAAGCTATAGACTATTTTGACGAGATGGTCGATTCTGGATGTGGGCCTGATGCTGCGGTGTACACATGTGTGATGACTGGTTTTGCAAATCAAAAAAATATGGATATAGTTTATCGGTTATTAAACGAGATGAAGGAGAAAAATTGCCAGCCCGATGGCCGATTGTACAATGCATTGATCAAGATGATGGTGAATAGAAGAATGCCCGACGAAGCGGTGAAGATATACAAGAAGATGGTGCAGAGTGCAGTTGGAGCTTCGGTCCACACTTACAACATGATCATGAAATCGTACTTTGTCGCAAGAGATTGTGAAATGGGGCTTGCGGTTTGGGAGGAGATGAAGAGGAGAGGGTTTTGTCCGGACGAGAACTCGTACACGGTTCTCGTGGGGGGGCTTGTCAGGCAGGGGAGATTGAATGAGAGTTGTAGGTATTTGGAAAAGATGATTGATAAGAGGATGCGGGCCCCACGGATCGATTATAAGAAGTTTTCGGCTGGTTTTTATTGGAGTGGTGGAAGGAATTGTTTGGAGGATTTGGCAGAGAAGATGAAATTGTCTGGTAATTCTGAGGTGGCTAATTTGTTGGAAAACATTCGTAAGACAGCGGAAGGAAAACAAATTTTATTTAAGATACTCCCGTTTAATAGACAAGGTTCCCAAATCAGAGTACAAAAATTTATATCTTGGCTAGATATTTTAGAAATCGTTGACGTGGTAAAAATCCGGGTAAAAACAGTCAAGGCACCAAGGCTAGCAATTCCTCGAACTCCCCTCCGCCGGCCTCCTAGTTGTTTCAAGAACCTGAAAAGGGAATATAAATAAAAACATGAGCCTAACCACTGGCTCAGTAAGGACATTGGCCTGACGAAACTCACGCCTCTCTCAACGTGTCACTCACGACCTATGGAAATCCTAAAGTCCCTGTCTATGTTCTCTTTCGTCTAAGGATTTTATGTAGTAATTATATTATATCATATTATTTCATCAACGTAAATCACAACATATAATCACGCCACAAATACTTAAACATATAATTTCACATATGAGCACATAATAAAAGTCTGGTTTGGCTTTTGAAGGTCATTTGAAATTCACTTTGAAAATCATGTGAGGATTCGTTTTCCTTTAGAAATCACTTCTTAGTTCATGTCGGAGCTCGTCTTGGACAAAATATCCCTTTCAACGAAGTTCCACTTTTTAGAATGAAAACCCCTTTTTAAAACTCTTTTTAAAACCATTTTTCTTTCAAAATCTTTCGTATGCAAGTATGCACATGTTGGGATCCCCATCAAAACCCTAACGTAAGCATCGGCAATAGACGTTGATATGCTAACCACCCTATAGTTCTATAGTAACTGTTTTTGGGATACCGGCCCCCCGTATCCCGTGTCTATTCAACCGTGGCATTGTTACAATTTTGACCTTTCTATAGTAGACCATGCAATACCAATTAATGACTCGATGAATGCACGTAAGTAATCTTAAGAGCAACACGATAATAATTCCGATTATATCATTCGCATAATTCGAAGGAATTAAATCACATAATTTGGAAGTAATTTCCGAGGATATAGTAAGCACATATAGATCAAACATTAGTAATAAAGACACATATACTTGTTGACGTATATACACATAGGTACTTATACCTATACGTATATACTCTAATTTATAACTATGGATTATAAGTTTCCTCAACCCGAAGGGAGTACGCCCATAACATCATAGGTCTAAACTATCGATATGCATATAAATATACTTATACATATACATAGTTATACCTCACAAGAGTAAATCACATAATTCAAATACACATAATTTAATTCAACGCTTCTTATTTAAAGAACCATCGGGAAATGTAATTCAGTATAAGTACTAGCACATAGTAAGTTCAAACAACAACTTATTATTCTAATCATAGATTAGTCTAAGAATATTTCTTAGATGTAGCTCAATAATCATGGGAAACTTCATCTATGTTGAACTATTATGTTAAGTTATGCCTCAAGAGTTTAAACCATGCTCACAAAGGACGTTTTGGTTAAATTAGTTTACTCATAGGAAAATCGGACAGTTTTGACACTTTAACTTCAAAAATACATTTCTCTTAGACCATTACTTCAAAACCTCTGAAACATTGACACAATAATTTTGTATGAGTGTAAAAGACTACATTAAAACTGTTTTCCAAAATAACTAGTAGACTAAGAGAAATGAGTAAAACAGTGCAGGAGTGTGGTCACACTTTCAGAAACAGAACCAACCACTTTGAAAATACCCAATAAATCACCCTTTTGTTAAACTAATGTAAGAATTTGCAGAAAACTACTTTTATAAGTTATAAATATATTCAAAGTAGAATCAAGGAAATCAAACTAGGAAAACATCGATTTTAAAAGCAAATCCTCAGCTGACTCACAAACTGTGCAGGTTTAGTAAATCATTAATATCTTAATCATCCGAAATCCGATTGATGATTAAAATATATCAAAGGAAATAGAACATAAAGATATACGAACCCATGAAATTTCGTGCGTTTTACAAAACCGATCAATTATGAAACATGCAGTAAACCCCGAGGCTTGAGATCTGAAAATCCATTAGTGTTTTGTATCTAGATTCTAGATTTATAGCTTTTATGCTTCTAGAGATAAAAACTTAAACATATAGCATATAAAACAACATAAAGATTATTTAATTATATGATTTTAATTCAGTAAAGACCAAGAGGTCCTTACCCATGAAAATCGAAGATTAAGAAAGAAAGAGAACCAAGGATCCATGGAATTTCGGCTTGAAATTCTTTGGCTTGACATGGATGGTATTGGAAAATTTTGGAGCTAAGTTTTCAGAGATTATATGGCTGTTTCTTTGAAGGTATTAGAAGAATCCCGAAATTAGGGAGAAAGAGGCATTTTTGGGTGATTTTAGAAGAGAAAAATAGAGACTTTTATGGAGGATCTTCAAGGCTTTTGAAGTGGAAGAGCAATTCTTCCATTTGGGGAGTGTTTGGAAGAGATAGAGAGGAGAGAATGAGGGATTTTGGCTAATGTTTGTGTGCTGAAAATTGTGAAGATGAAGAGGCTATTTATAGGAGAGTAGAGGGACTTACTTGCAATATTGTAAACAAGAGGGTGTAGGTAGCAATTAGGAAGACTTGGACACTTGGAAACTCACCATCAACCCAACACACTCAACTTATACACACGACACTTTCACATAACATAAAGCACATGCACACA